TTGGTTGCAGAAGAAATCAAACCGTTCAAAGGGGCATTGAACGATCTCATCGCGATGACCCGCAACGCTCTCGGCGCGCTCAAGCAGGCCATGAAACAGGCTCAGCTGAAGGACTCCAGCAAGGGCGCCCCCAGCGGCAGCGGCACGAGGGGCGGCGGCAACAGGGGTGCTGGTGCCGGTGCGGGCCCCGACTCGGGAAAGGCCAAGATGGCGCTCTTCGAGAGAGGCGTGGAGAAGGCCATCAAGTGCGAGGTCAAGGACGTGTCGATCCCAGAGCAGGCAGCCCCCATGGACGCGCTCACGGCCCCCGTGGTGATCAAGGGCTGGACCGTGGATGAGCTGGCGCCTCTGCTTGCAGCTGGTCAAGCTTTCATCCCGAAGTTTACGACCTCCAAGTTGACTGCAGTGCGAATGTCCCGATCCCGCCCCCCCCCCCCCCCCGTTATCTTCAAACCGACGGCTTTTCTGGGAATGAGAGGGGGCGGAGTCGGAGGAAGAGGGGGGGGAGAGAAAGAGGAAGAGGAGGAGGAGGAGAAGGAGGAGGAAGAGGAGGAGGATGAGGAGGAAGAGAAGGAGGAGGAACAATGGGGGTCGAGCTGGCTTTGAGCGCACCCTTCCAAGTCAGGTTGCGGCAATCCGAGGGCCGCGCAGAGAAGGGTATTAAGGCCGAGGTTCTGGACGCCACCATGGTGGTTTTCCACAAGGTGTTCACCGAGGCTGGCCACTTGGCGCTGGCGAAAATGCACAGGGAGATGCACCCCGCAATGTTTGGACTTGCCAAGTCCCTCGAGACCGTCTGCACGGAGAAGGGGAGGAGTCCGACACTTCGGATTCACACGTCCGGCTCGCGCCAGCTCGTCATGGCGAACGTCACGGAGGTCAAGACCTACATGGAGAAGCAGGGTTTAACGCAGGTCGGGCCAGACCAGATCCAGAGCTTCTTCAAAGGGATGACGAAGGAGGTGATCGACAGTAGCATCGTGCATGGCGTGAAGCTGTACACCGCGACTGTCGGCGCCAACGAGGGGATCGCCATGCCGTTCAACTACGTGTTCGCGGAGAAGGTATCGGGCCAGTGCGACCTCATCGGCGTCAAGATTTCCTTCTGGTTGCGATCGGATGAAAGCTCGATGGAGAGCGCCTCGAGGTGGCTGATCAGCATGAAGAAACCAAACAGCCTGTTGCAGTCCAGCCTGGACGCGATCGTCATGGAGTCTGCGGACTAGTGCCCTCATGAACCGCGCGGTGCTCATAGTCGATGCGATGGGGATTGCATCGAACCACGTCTTGGCACTGCCTGCATGGGCGCAGGCAGCGAACGACGACTATGGGCATGCGGGCGGGCTGCTGTCTCAGACGTGGTCGATGCGGGCGCCGGCGCACCAGCAGGCGATCGGCTCCCTTGGCGGCGGCAACGGCGACATGTGCGTCTTTTTTTGAGCGCAGGCCGGCTCGGCGCTCCAGCAGCGCCTCCCGCGGCTCGCGGCCAGTTTCCCTCCCTTCCTTCCCCCCTTCGGTTGTCAGTCGAGTGGGGTGTTCCCAGGGGTTCCAGGGGCGGTCGTGAGGGGGTGGTGGGCATTTCCATTTCCCCTTCATATCCCTTCTCCTCTTTCCCCCTTCTCTCTTCCATACTTCCTCGCACTCTTCTGCTCTCCTCTCTTCTCTGCTCCTTCGCGTTCGGCCGCCTCTGCGACGCGAGCCTCGAGCCGACTTGCCGGGCCTGCAGGGCCCGTTTCAGGAGCGTGTGGCTGTCAGATCCTGTGAGTGCTCTTGCATTTCCACTTCCCCATCCCGCCCCCTCACCCCCCGCGGCTCTTCCTTTCCTCTTTCCCTTCGCCCCCGCCTTTTCCCTCGTCCCCCCCCTCCGTCTCATCGCCATATTCCCTTCTCCTCCTCCTCCTACTCCTCCTCTTCGCCATCTTCCCTCCTACTCCTCCTCCGCCTCCTCGCCCTTTTCCCTCCCCCCCTCCTCGCCCTTCCTATCTCCCCCCCCTCCTCCTCATCCCTCTCCCCCCTCCCCTCCTCTCTCCTCTTATCTTCCTTCCCTTCCAGTCGCCGCAGTTATCTGGCTAGCGCGAACGTCCGATGAGATCCGAGACTGCGTCCGAGATCCGGGCGGCTTCCCAGACAATGATTTTCAGTTTCAGGATTCGTTCGAGTCCATTCTTGAGCCAGTTCGGTAGTCTTGCACCCTCCCAGCCCCTTTCGCCCCCTGAGAATGGCTTCCGTGATTTGGACTAGGTTGGGCATTCAATTGTCGGTCGTCGCCTCCGGGCTGTCGGCGCCGCCGCATTCGCGCAAAGGGGGTTACGTAGTAGCGGGTAGCCGTCGCTCTCGGGCAGGACGGCGCCTTCGCGGCTTGAGGTGGGTGCGGTTCGCTATCGACGCCTCCGGGCTGGTCGGCGCACCCGCACCTGTGGGGCATGTGTGGCCGTGTGGGTGAGTGGTCGTCGCCTCTGGGTTGGGCGGCTCGGCAGTCGTCGCCTCTGCGCGTGACGGCGCCTCCGCAGTGCGGCGTAGCTGCGTGGTTGGTGCCATCGCCGTTGGGCTATTGGCACAACTACCGTAGCGCCCGCGGGCAGCAGCAGTCTCATAACCTCCCTGCTTTCCTTCCTTCCCCTTTTCCCCCCCCTCGAGGAGTGGAGGTGGGGGAGGAGGAAATGGCGAAGGAAGGACCCTTACATGATGTTCTGGTTGAGACGCGTTGGCCGCCGCGCTCGCGCCTGGCGGCAACAGGAGGGAGCGAACGCTGGCCTGACCAGCAATCAGGCCTTCGTGGCGGTGAAAGTGCACCGTCTGAGCTCTCGACCCCGTCTGAGCTCTCGACCCCGTCCCAGGAGGAGGGGGAGGTGCCTTCTTCCTTTCTTTCCTCCCCCCTATTGCCGCTCGGGGAATTTTTGCCGCCTCCGAGGTCGAGCGGAGTCGGGTGCTTGTGGAGGCAGGTCGTCGCCTTCGGGCTGGACGGCGCCACTGCGGACGTGCAGCTATTCGCAGTTCTCTTCTAGTAACGGTTACCGTCGTCGTCTTTGGGCTGGACGGCTAGGCTGTCGTCGCCTCAGGGCTGGACGGCGCCTCCGCGGAGAGCAGGGCAACGTGCTGGCAGTCGTCGCCTTCGGGCTGACGGCGCCCTCTTTGGTAGTCGTCGCCGCGCGGCTGGACGGCGCCATAAGCCCTGCGGGTCGTCGCCCCCCAGGGCTTCGACGGCCAGGCGGTCGTCGCCTCCGGGCTGGACGGCGCCTCCGCGGAGTGCGGGCTGGTGTGTAGGTAGTCGTCGCCTTCGGGCTGGGCGGCACCGCCGCTGGCCGTCGTCGCCGAGAGGCTGGACGGCGCCATGCTGTTGCGGGTCGTCGCCCACAGGGCAGGACGGCTAGGCTGTCGTCGCCGCCAGGCTAGACGGCGCTTCCGCAGGTTGCGGTGGTGTTGTGCTGGTTGTCGTCGCCCTCGGGCTGGACGGCAACTCCGCATGGCGGCTCTGCAGTCATCGCCTCGAGGCTGGACGACTTGGCAGTCATCGCCTCCGGGCTGGATGGCGCCTCCGCAGTGTGAGGAGTGGCGAGGGGTTGTAGTGTCGGCTGTCGTCGCCTTCGGGTTGGACGGCGCCTCCACTGCTGCGTGGTCTGCGCGGGTGTGAGCGGGATTGTGAATTGGCAGTCGTCGCGTTCACGCCGGCGGCTCGGCTGTCGTCGCCTCCGGGCAGGACGAGGCTCGTAACGGTGTGTTGTGGTGTAGCTATGGGGCCGTCGCCATAGGCTCGACAGCACCTCCGCCTGGGCGCCGGGGCGTCGTCGCCTTAGGGCTGGGCGGTGCTCCCGCAGAAGCGCTGGAGTCGGAGTGGGCCGTCGTCGCCTTAGGCTGGACGGCGCCGCTGAATCGGGTCATTCGTTGAGACAGTCGTCGCGCGCACGTTGCAGCGCGTTGTACGCGTGCCCCCCCCCCCCCTTTCATGAGACTGCGGCGCGCGGTGACCGTGGCAGTTATGAGCGTGGAGGTGGTCGCGGCTCGCGCCTCGCAGCCAGAAGCTTGGCCTTCGTTGTGTCGCGGCGTGGGTGCGAGTGATAATCGTGCCTCGAGTTTCGCTTGGTGCCTTGAGGGCCGTTTTGTTGCACGTCGCGTGAGGCAGTGCATGGAGCGGACCATTGTGGATGGGCCGGCACGCCTTGTTCATGTCGCTTGTCACGCTTCCCAGGCGATTGTTGACCCGCAGCCCTCCGTAGGCATTGCGGCTCGAAGTGCAGGTCGGTGGTCCATCCTTCAGGCTCACTTCCGTTTCTCTGGGGCGCAATGGCAAGCGAGCGCGAGGAAATCTTTTTTTTGGCGCGGGTGGTGGAGCTAGGCCTGGAGGACTGCATCCCGGCCATGAAAGCGAAGGGCATCAAGACGTTCGCCGGCATGAGGTTCGGGACCGACTACAACCCGCAGATGCCAGAACCGACGCTATTGAACGAGCAGTTGCTCAAGCCGTTGAGCGGGGAAAAGGAGGAACTGGTCCCGGCGTTGAGGCGCTTGTGGTGGGAATCGTGGAGCGCGGCAACGAACGACATGCGCAAGCGCATCGACGCTGCCGACGGCGACGCGCCGAGGAAGCTGGGGCCGGTTGAGCTACAAGCCCGCCGGGACCAGGTCACGAGCCGTCTCACGGGCCTCCGCTTCGAGGGCGAGCTCGCACCCTCTTCGCGGGCATGTACGACAGGGGCCGCCTGAAGTTCGTAGAGGAGGCCCGCAAGCTGAAACACCCCTACGAGCAGCCGCCGGCGCTCCCAGACTGGAGCAAAAGGGCTGTCTTCGAAGTCCTCACGCAGGGCCCCGACGAGGTCCGCAAGAGGAGGAGGACGGCGCTGGAATCGTGGCGCCGCAGGGCCGAGGAGCTCGAGGAACAGGAGAAAGAGCTCTTCCGGCGCGCCCACCCGGCAGTGCCAGCATGCTGGGGAGGAGCGCCGGCCCTTGTGCAGGCGCTCGAGGCAAGCGAGTGACCGGGGAAGCGCTCGTTGCTGCTCGAGGAGATGGCGGCGGCAGCAGGTTTCCCCAACCATCAGCTGCTAGGCGCGTACATCCGCCAGGGGACATCTGTCTTCGGCGAGGTGCCGGCGTCGGGGGCCTTCGAGAAGGACGAGCAGCCGGCGGGGAAATCCCTCAGAGAGATCCTGGAGGCGTCGAGGTGGACCAAGCACCGCCTCCTGGACATTGTGGGACCAGGTACCCCAGAGGTGGACGAGGAGGTGGTCAAGCGCACGGAGGAGGAAGCGGCGCAGGGCAAGGCGCTCGGCCCGTTCAGCGAGGAGGAGGTCGACCAGTGCCTGGGGAAGGTGTGGGCTGGGTCAAGGAGATTCGGCCTAGTGCAGTCTTCCGGGGTGCGCCCGGTGGATGACCACAGCGAGTTCGGCCAGAATTGGACGTCCCACACCCACGAGAACATCGATCTGGGCGGCGTCGACCAGGTGGCTGCGATAGCCCGTTTGTGGGGCACGGCCGCTTCTGGCGCGGGCAAGGTTCAGGTCGAGCTGAGCACGGCGGAGGTGTTACGCGGCCGGCTCCACAGAGGTTTCGCCCCGAAGGCTGCCCGCAGCCTGCGGGGGAGGGCGCTCGACTTGAAGCGGGCCTTCAAGCAGCTAGCGCCTCTGCCGTCCCTGGCGCCGCTCCTGGTGATAGCGCTTTGGCATCCAGCTCGCAACGGCGTCGCCTACTGCGTCTTGCGCGCCATGTCATTCGGGGCGAGGAACACTGTCTACGTTTTCGGGGCCGTCGCGAGGGCGATAGGGATGATTATGTCGGAGCTCTTCCTGTTGGCCCTCTCGCAGTACGTGGACGACTTCCCGCAGGTGGAGCCCGAGGCAAGCACGGACAGCGCCACCGTCGCCGAGGAGGTGATGCAGCTGCGATGCTGGGAGGTAAAACGGAACGCCGCCGGCGGCCTCCCGTGTTTCGCCTCCACGTTCTCCGCTCTCGGTGTAGTGTTCGATCTGAACAACGTCGTGGATAACGAGCTGACTATTTCGAACAAGCCGGAGAGGGCCACAAGGGCATCGGAGTTGGCGCGCACGGTGGCGGAAGGAGGATGGGTCAAGCAGCGTGTTTTGACACAGCGTCTTGGGGTCTTAGCCTATTCCAGGGCCCAGTGTTTCGGCAGGTGCGGAGCGGCAGCGCTCCAGCCGCGGGCAGCCGCAGCGTAGGGGCCCCCGAAGAGGGTTGACGGCACGCTGTTGGTCCAGCTCGAGGCGGCAGTAGCGTTGCTGCGCGAGTCCAGACCTCGCACGCTGCTCCTGCGAGATCACGTCCCTCCCGTGCTGCTCTGGGTCGACGGCTCGGAGGAGCAGGCCGGGGTCGATGGCGGCGCGGTGCTCGACGACAGAGGCACTGTCTCGGAGTACATCCAGTTCGTGGTCAGCCAGGAGCTGGTGGAGGCCTGGAAAAGAGAGAATGGCCTCACGAAAGTAATTCACCAGGCAGAGCTGCTCCCCATCGCCGTCGCGCTGGCAACTTGGAGAGCTGCCGTGCGCGGAAGGCGGGTGATTGTCTTCGTAGACAACGACGCAGCGAGAGCAGCCATGGTCAACGGTCACTCGGGCACGCCTGCTTCGGCGAGGCTCGTGGGGGCAGCGTGGGCCTTGGCGCAGGAGCAGTGCGCTTATCTCTGGTTCGACCGGGTGCCTTCGCCATCGAATGTGGCAGGCGGCCCTTCCAGAGGCAACGTAGAGACTGCTGAGCGCTTGGGATTCGTCCGGGCACGGGCCGTTTCCCCGACGAGCGAGTCCTTGTGCTTCGTGTAAGTATGAGGGGTGATGTGAGCAAGCACCCACCAGAAGAAGAACTGCATTGAGTTTGCCCAGAGGGCAAGAATGGCAGGGAAGGGAGAAAGAAGGGAGAGGGCACCTTATACGCAGTATACGTTCCCCTCTCCCTCTGCTTCCCTTCCCGCAGGCGTCTCTGCCCGAATCCCTCTCTTCGCTCCCTCCCCCCGCTCCCCGCTCAGAGAAGAAGTCATGTGGATAAGTATTCGTTGATGAAAGAAGCGAGCATTCAGCAAGTTCTGTCTAGAAGGCCCGGAGGGGCAAGTACCCAGAGTGATAGCGATCAGTGTTGGGGTGATGTGAGCAAGCACCCACCATAATAATAATAGCATTGAATTTGCCCAGAGGAGAAAATGGCAGGGAAGGGCGAAAGAAGGGAGAGCATCATCGTCACCAACAACATCACCATCACCACCGTCACCATCACCATCAGCATCATCATCAGCATCACCATCAGCATTATCATCACCAGCAGCAGCAACATCAGCAGCATTATCATCTTCACCAGCATCATTATCATGATCAGCATCGTCATCAACATTACCATCATCATCATCATCAGCATCATCATCATCCGCATCATCGTCATCATCCGCATCATCACCATAACCATCCTCATGGCTCCTCCTCCCCCCTCCTCCTCCTCCTCCTCCTCCTTCTGGTGCTGCTCCTGCTTCTGCTCCTGTTCCTGCTCTTCCCCCTTCCCCTCCTCCCCCTCCCCCTCCCCCTGCCTTTTTTTTTTTTGTTTCTCCTCCTCCTCTTCCTCCTTCTTCTCCTCCTCCTCCTCCGCCTTCTCCTCCTCCTCCTCCTCCTCCTCCTCCTCCTCCTCCTCCTCCTCCTCCTCCTCCTCCTCCTCCTCCTCCTCCTCCTCCTCTCTTGTTCCTCCCCCATCCTCCTCCTCCTCCTCCTCCTCCTCCTCCTCCTCCTCCTCCTCCTCCTCCTCCTCCTCCTCCTCCTCCTCCCCCTCCTTCCGCAGCAGAGCGTGCACAGCGGCGCGAGCGCCTCCGCCCCGGAAAGGCAACGCCTCGGCGGCGAGGCGACGGGAGGGCGGGTGGGAGCGCGCGCCTTGCGCCCCATTGGGGGAGGAGTGGCACACCAGCGAGGGCGGGAGGAGGGGGAGGAGGAGGAGGAGGAGGAGGAGGAGGAGGAGGAGGAGGAGGAGGTGGAGTCGGGAGGAGGGGGAGGAGGAGGGGGACCAGTGTAAACTTCAGACGCGCCAGCGACGTAGCGTGTAATAGGCCCTCCCTTTAAGTTCATTGTCACAGACGCCTGCAATAATGTGTTGTCATTGCTAGAAGTACCCAAATTAGAAGACAACCGTATTATTATCTTCAAGCGTTACCGAATATTGTTCCTGCAAGCTCGACGCCGCGAATCAACGTGGCTGTCGCGTCCTGACACTCCGAACTCATGCCAGGACACCATTCCTCGGACTTCAAGGCAACGAATCAGCATGGCCTTTGCGTCCTGACAGTCCCTACTCGCGCCAGGACATCATTTACACGAGTACTTTGATATTCCTGCAAGTTTGGGAAACGAATGTGCGAGGCGGTGAGGCGAGAGCCGCATGTTGAAAAGGAACCGCCCTCCATCCCTGAAATTGTTGCAAGCTTACACGGGGTATTTGCGCGGCGTTAAACCGAGAGCCACACTGTCAAAACGGCCCGCCCTGCACCCGCGACACGTCACAATCAAGCAGCAAGCTTCACCCGCGGCATACTCATGCAAATGCTTGGCATCGCTCAGACGTGTGCGTTTTTTCCCGGCGAGGACTATGGAGGAGCATCTTGGATCATCGAGCAAAACAAACACGCACCAAGTCGAAAAATGCACGTGGAATGGACGTCCGAGCGATGGCGAGAATGTCAAGCCTCAGGATCACAAAAACATATATGGATATAGTCAGGGGCTGCCTGACCCCTGGAAAGACAAACGAGTGGGGCAAGCTGACGCCTGCAGCAGCAAAACGCTGCCAAAGAGAAGCTCGCATTCTCAATACGAAGCCGCAGAGGAAAGCAAAAACACCCCTCAGAAGATGTACTGCCTCAAGAACTAGTATAGGGGAACGAATAATGATATTCACATAAAACTCTGAGGTCCGCGCGGATTTCTCGGATCGGCGCTGGGCCCCCCGGCGGCGCCTCTGGCGCCGCCCCTGGCGCGCTCCGCGCGCCAGGGAGGGGGGTCCAGCGCTGATCCGAGAAATCCGCGCGGACCTCCGAGTTTTTATGTTTATGCAGTTTTTTGTTCCCCTGGAATAACTATTCTTAAATGGCCTGGATTCCCCGCGGGGGAGCTCGTAGTACTAGACGGGAAGTGCCCGGGGCGAAGCGCCGGGCACGCCCTGCCCACACGTCTCCTGTGGGTGCGGCGGAGAGGAGCCGCCGCTCGGGGGCGGGAGGGGGTGATGGAGGACGGAGGCCGAGGAGGGGGGGAGGGGGGAGCGCGAGGGGAGGGAGGAGGGAGGAGGGGGAGGGAGGAGGGAGGAGGGAGGAAGGAAAAGGGGAGGGAGGAGGGAGGAGGGGGCAGGGAGGGAGGAGGGGGAGGGCGAAGAGGGAAAGGAAGAGGGGGGGGGAGGGGGGGGCGAGGAGGGAAAGGGAAGAGCAGGAGGGAGGAGGGGGAGGAGGGGAGGGGGCGTGGAGAAGGAGGGAAGAGCAGCAGCAAGGGGGAGCACGGCAGGAAAAGGAGGAGGAGGAGGAGGAGGAGGAGGACGTGGGGGGAACGCGAGGGGGAGGGAGGGGGAGGCGAAGAGGAAGAGGAATAGCAGGAGGGAGGAGGGGGAGCAAGGGCGCCCGCGAGGGCGCGAAGGTATTCGCACCGCGTGCTGCGCGCTTCGCGGTTTGGCTCCGGTTCCTCCTCATCCTCCTGCTCTCGCTGGGGGGGCGGCGCGAGAGCGCGAAATTATTCGCGTTTTGCGCTCCGCGCAGCGCGAAGCGTGAAGTTAGGCGCCCTTGGTGAGGAGGGGAGGGGACGCGGAGAAGGAGGGAAGAGCAGCAGCAAGGGCGAGTACGGGAGGAAAAGGGGGGGCAGGAACAGCAGCAGTGGTTGGTAGTGCTGGTAGAAGTGGAAGCAGACGTAGACGTGGACGTAAAAGTGGAAGTTGAAGTAGAAGCATAAGTAGACATAGAGGTAGAATAAGTAGAAGTGTGGTAGTGAGGGTCAGTATCGAAGACGCCTACGGCGAATCACCGCCGCCCCTGTCTTTTGAAATCGCCAATATGGCTCAGCGTTGTGGCAAGAGCTCAGCCAAGCTACCGGACCACGTGTTCCCCCAACCGTTGTGGAAACCCTTCGGGAAACACTTGGGGGAGGATGGCGGAGAAGATCAGGAGGAGGAGGAGGAGGAGGAGCTCAGCGCCGACCCGGCGGGGGTAAGCTTCACGCAGACGGCGGCCGCCGCGGCGCCGACCGAGCGCTTGACCGCCCATTTCGGGAAGCTGCTCAGACTCTGGGCGCACGGGCTCAAGGCGCACGACGAGATGGTCCTCGTCAGGTCGTTCGCGAACGTGGCGGCGCTGCACCACGCGCGGGCGCACCTCCTCAGCGAGGAGTGGTGTCGGGTCTACGAGGACAAGGTGGTGGTGCACCTGGAGAGCCTGCTCGGGCGACCTCTCCCGCCGAACGCGCGGGAGCAGCTCTTCCTTCCTCTGGCGGAGGAGGGTTGGGCGTGCACAGCATGGCCCAGCGCAGGCTCGCCGCCTTCGATGGCTCGTGGCTCGGCTGCCTGGCAGACGTCTGGCGGGAGCTTGGCGAGGCCAGCTTGGGCACCTTCGTCTCGAGCTGCCCCGGCCTCTGGGGTGCCGCGGAGCAGGCTGGCAACGCTCTCCGGCTCGGCGTCGGCGAGTGGCTCAGTGCCGCGGCAGAGCCCAGGCCAAAGGCGCAGAAGGCGTTCGCGCGCCGCGCACAGGACGAGAGCCGGAAAACCCTCCTGGCGGCGCTGCCGCCGGAGCAAGTTGCCCAACTGCGCTCGGCGAGTGGGAAGGGAGCTGGCAGCTGGCTCCACCCGCCCACGCAGGACGACCACCGCCTGGCGGACGAGCCCTACCTGCCGGCGCTGGCGCTTCGCCTCCGGCTGCCGAGGCCCGCGGACGCCTGCGCCACCTGCCAGCGCCGCCGCGCCGACTGGCAGCTCTGCGGAGCAGACCCTGCGCGCGCCCCGACGCACCCCCTGGGCTGCCACGCTGGTGCGCGAGCACGCAGGCGCGTCACAACGCCCTCCACGAACGGCGGGGCCGCGACGCTGGCGGGCCGGGGCCGGGCTTGGCGCGACGGGGCTGCGGCGGCAGCGGCGGAGGAGCGCAAGCACCGCCGCTGCCCCAGTGCGCGGTTTTGCGTTTTCGCGCAGGAAATGCTGGGCAGGCCGAGGCGCGAAGCGCAGGACCTCCTGCGCACCTGGACAGCCGGCGACGCGGACGTGCTCTCGGCGGCGCGCCAGAGCATGGCCGCCGCGCTGCAGCGGGCCAGCGCCGAGGCGTTTAACACTTCCGTGTGACCGCCCGGGCAGCGAGGCGCTGAGCAGCCGACCCACGGGCCGCCCGCAGCCGGGGGTGGAGCGCCGCGACGCGAGCGCGAGGGCGCGCGCTGGCGGCAGCCTGGGGACGGGCGGCGAGGCGGCCGCGGCTCGGAGGCTGCGCCTGAGCAGCGGCGGCCACGACCAGCCCTTCCAGCCCCCCACCCTCTCCCCCCTCCCCCTTCTCTGCGCTTCTTCTGGACAGCCCGCGCTCGCGGCACTTCCATAGGCCCTCGCTCCTTTCCCTTCCTCCTCCCCTATCATTTCCCGCCCCCTGCTTCCGGCGGGCGCGCGCGCGCCTCGTGGGGGGGGCTGGCGGCGCAGGGACCCGGGCCCAGGCCGTGCGTCCGTCTCCTCCGCTTCGCGGTTCCTTATGACTCTCCACTCCCTCCTCCCTGCCCCCCCTTGCTCAGCTGCTCTCGCCAGCTGTGCCGGCTCGGGCACGCGATGGCGGAAGTGGCTTGTGGGTCCTGTCGCGTCTCGTTGGCGCCACCCGCCTCTACCCGAGCCGGTTCTGTCTCCAGGTCAGGACCGCCTCGCCCCTTGCTGCTGCTTGCTGGCCCGCCTCTGTCCTCTAGAATTCTGCTGCAGGGAGAAGGAGGAGGATGAGGAGGAGGAGGAGGCGGAGGAGGAGGAGGAGGAGGAGGAGGAGGAGGCGGAGGAGGAGGAGGAGGAGGAGGACCAGGGGGCATCTCGGGAGCCTCTGGGGGCACTCTTGGGGCCTCCTGGGAGCTTTCTGGGAGCCATTTGGAAGCATCTTGGGAGCCTCCTAGGGCCTATTGGGGGCCTTTGGGGGCTTTTCGGGGGCTTCCTTGGCTGTCTCAAGGCATTCCTGCTGGCCCGTCTGACGCAGTCGGAAGCCGCCTTGGGGGCTTCTTGGGCCGATTTGAAACCTTCTTGGGGTGCTCCAGGGCTGCTTCGGGGGGCCATTTTGGGAGTCTTGGAGGCTTCCCGTCTGGGGGTCCTCTTGGGCCGTTTTGGGGGCCTCTCGGGCCGTTCTGGGGACATCCTGGAGGCCTCTTGGGCGATCTTTCGGGGCTGTCGGGTCGTTTCGGATCGTCGGAAAGCCGGAACAAAGCAAACGCCACCTTAGGAAAATAAGTGGTTTGGGTCTCTTCGGGCCTTCCTGGAAGTCCTCTTGGAGGCCTCTTTGGCCGTCTTTGGGGCCTCTTGGGGGCCTCTTGGGGGCCTGTTGGGCCGTCCAAGGCCATCTTAGAACCATGTTTTGCCGTCTTGGTGGGCTTCTGGCTCGTCTGACTCCGTCGGAAACTGTTTTGGGGGCCTCTCTGGGCCGACTGGGGGCACTCTTGGGGTGCTCCAGGGCTGTTTTATTTGGGCCCTCCTGGGGCGGCCTTGAGGGCCTCTTGGGTCGTTCTGGGACCATGTTGGAGGCCTTTGGAGTTATCTTGGGGCGATCTTGGGGGCCTCTTGGGCCGTCTTGGGCTGTCGGAAAGCGGAAAATAAACACATGCCAACATCCTTCACACCCTAGGACAAAACACAATGGCTTTGGCCTCTTCGGGCCCTCTTGGTGGACGTCTTGGACGCCTCTTGGGCAGCATTGGAGGCCTCTTGGGCGCCTCTTGGGCCCTCTTCGACCGTTTTGGCGGCTTCTTGGGCGGACTAAGCGGCATTTTGGACCCTCTTGGGCCGTCTTGGAGGCCATCTTGGATCATTTGTTGCCATCTTGGGCCAACGTGGCCATCTTGGAGGCCATATTCAGCCGTCTTGGAGGATTTCGGGGGCGTTGAGGTCGTTTCCGGGCCTTCCGCAGGGCCTGCGGGACGGGCCGCAGCCCTAGGGGAGAGGTCTTTCGGAGAAAAAACAAGGACCATAGGATTTAGCCCTCCGTAGCCATTTTGGCTCAAACCGTTTTAGCGCAGTCGATCGCTCTTCTTGTGTGAGGTTCGTGAGGCTGTCACTGCACGAGCTTAGTAGTTCTAGCTGCCACTGGTCAGGCGCGATGGGCGTCCCCGCTGCTGGATCTTGATTGTTGCCGTGATAGTTGTCCACGCAGGATGGGTTTCGGAGTTTACGTTTTGTGGGTCCTCTCTGCGCTGGTTAACACTCAGGTCCAGAAGGCTAGAGTCGGCGAACGGGCGAGTGAAATGCAAGGCTGTCGTCACAGAGATGCTCCTAGATGACAACAGCTGCGCTCCTATCGCGGTCAATGATCGTCGTGTGCTGCGCGCTCAAGCTGCAGGCGCAGCGCCCGGGACTTCCAGTATCCCAGTCTAGCAGAAGCCTTTGCAAGCAGTGGAGCTGGACTGGGTGTTAACTAAGGAACCTGCCGAGAATAGAGAGGAAGCCTTGATTGAGACATTTCAGGAATCATGTCGTTCAACATCAGGCTGGTTGAAGCCAGGAATGGTAAACATCGTGACTCATCGCCGGGCGCTGAGGCGTCTCTTGGCATTCTGCTCCGTCTGTGAGGACTACAGTGGCCAATCCTGGCAGTCGAAACTGATGCAGCTCTCGGATGCCAACGTCTTACCCGTTCTGCACATTCTTAAGGTAGACCGTCCCCATGGTCTGGGTACAGCGCTGATCGTGACATGTTCGTATGATGTTTGGAAAGATAACATGACAGTGCTGGACCGAGCTTCGAGATGGCATTCACCTCAGGGGGCGATCCCGCTTCGCGCCATTTTTTACGCACGGTTTTTCTCTGGGCGATCTCAACTTGATTGTGCAATCTGAGGCAGACGCTGTGGATCACAAGGGAAACATCGTAGAGCTCAAAGCCAGGATGACCTCCCGCGAGAAGCCGCTCGACAAAGGCAGATTCTTCAGGGAATCTGGGTTTGACACATACTTCCAGATGCTGTTCGGGGGCGCGTCCTTGCTCGTCCTAGGGTTGCACAGAGTCGTCGCTTGGGACACGAGCGAGGTCGACCCATCTCAGATAGAAGAACTCAGCATTGACAACGTGAAGACCAACTTGCAACAACAGTCGGTGGCTGACGAGCTGTTGGGGCGTGCTGCTGAGATCTTGAGAGCTGTGAGCGAAGCCTGTGCTCTTTCATCGCAGTGCAACCGCTTTGACTTAGCACTTGATCGTGATTCCAAGTCACTTGTAGTATCAACGACAGAGTAGCCGACTGAATCCTTGGCTGGAACCGTGTGATTTGCCAATTCGGCACCATGGGTCACCCCTTTCGGCGTCGACTCGCAGCGGCGCTTGCAGGAGGAGGAGGAGAGGGAGGAGGGGGGAGGAAGGAGGGGGAGGGGGATCGCCAAAAAGTCTCAGACGCTCGGGGGTGGAGGGTGCGCCTGACACGAAATTGGTCGCGCTCTTGTGACTGCGCTCTGCAGGCTCCCCGGAGCAAAGGGGCCAGGATGCGTTTTTCCCGGAAAGGGCGGGGGCCCAGGTTTCTTTTTTAGCGGTTTACCCCCGAAATCGACTTGAAGGAGGCCGGCGGAATTATTCTGCGATAAGTGACGAGTTTGAAGGAGGCCCGCGGAATTATGTTTGAGGATGTCTCGAGCGAAACGCTTGTGTTTTTCAGAATGTGTTGAGGATGTCTCGAGCGAAACGCTTGCTTTGTGTTATAGATTGTCATCTCCTGGGGACCTGAATTCAGAGGATCTCTCAAGTGAAATGCTTGTTTTCACGTGCCCATGTCTTGAGGATGTCTCGAGCGAGACGCTTGGTTTCACGCCTCCAGGTTGCCCAGACAGATGTCTAGCTTGAGGATTTGTTGAGGATGTCTCGAACGAGAGGCTTGTTTTCACGTGTCCAGTTCGCCCAGGCGGATGTCTAGCATGAGGATGTGTCAAGGACATCTCGATCGAGATGCTTGTTTGCACGTGTCCAGGTTTCCCAGGCGGATGTCTAGCATGAGGATGTGTTGAGAACGTCTTGAGCGAAACGCGTGTTTTCACGTGTCCAGGTCGCCCAGGCGCAGCACAGCCCCCGGCACGGTCATCAATACCGATACCCTTAGCGTTGCAGCCTGGCATGTTGCTTGGCACGTTCCGCGGCGCGTCCCGTGGCGAGTCCCCCTGGCACGTCGCGCGGTGCACGTCCATTGGCACGTTCCGTAGCGCGTCCCCTTGGCACGTCCCGCGGTGCGTGCCCATGGCACGTCCCCTGGCACGTCGCCTGGCGCGTCCCTTGGGACGTTCCGCGGCGCGTCCTCCTGGCATGCCCCCTGAGTCGATTGGTTCAGGGGCAGCTACCATCTGCTCAGGCAGCTCGAGCTTAAGATCCAGATCAGTTCGGTCAGGACTCGGATGCAAAGAGGACTCGATGCACAACGCTATATAGAGCACAATCGCGGCATGGCACATCGCAGTTCAGCACGGCCAGCACAGCGCAGCCGTCGGCACGGTACATCATGATCGATACATTCAACATTGCATTTTGGCACGTTCTTTGGCGCGTTACTTGGCGAGTCCACCTGGCACGTCGCGCGGCGCGTCCCCTGGCACGTCCCGCGGCACGTCCATTGGCACGTTCCGTAGCGCGTCCCCTTGGCACGTCCCGCGGTGCGTGCCCATGGCACGTCCCCTGGCACGTCGCCTGGCGCGTCCCTTGGGACGTTCCGCGGCGCGTCCTCCTGGCATGTCCCCTCTGTCGATTAGTTCTGGGGCAGCTACCATCTGCTCAGGCAGCTCGAGCTTAAGATCCAGACCAGTTCGGTCAGGACTCGGATGCCAGGGAGGACTCGATTCACCACGCTATATAGAGCACAATCGCGGCATGGCACATCGCAGTTCAGCACGGCGTAGCACAGCACAGCCCTCGGCACAGTACATCAAGATCGATACATTCAGCATTGCATTTGCCCGTCGCCCAATACAGTGTCTTTGAAACGTTGCCATGCCTTACATTTCTATATTCCTTTCCGAGTTCGTGGGTCGATCATGTCTTTTCCGCGCAGCAGCTGGCAGATAACATTAGTCCTTCTGGGGCATTGCTGTGGTAGCTGTCTCAGCGATTGGTCATCCACAGGAGCGACCTGTGCACGCAGATCTTGTTTTGTTGCGCAACGTGGTGGGCCACGCAGTGGCGGAAAACCGCGGCTCTGGAGCTGACCACGTTGTATGACTCGCATGTCTGTCTCTAGCGAAACGCTTGTTTTCAGAATTTGTTGAGGATTTCTTGGGAGAAACGCTGGTTTTGCAGAGCCGACCGCGACGCGGAAAAGCGCCTGCGCGCAGGAATTCCGAGGATGTCTCGCGCGTGCCGCGTCCCGCGCGCAGGAATTTCGAGGATGTCTCGACTAATTCGGTTGTTTTGCTAGGATCCCCTTGAATTTTGGCAGGATGTCACGAGCGAGATTTTTTACCAAACAGCGAAGACTGATAGGTTTCTAGTGGTGTCAAAAGAGAGCATCTTGACTCCCCAGGGGGGTCTGGGCGGGATCCGGACGGGATCCGGGGGAATCCGGACATCCGCGCTTGATATGGGCGAACTCAGTCGGGGGTGCCGTGGGTGCCCGCCTGATATGGGGGAACTCAGGCGGGGGTGCCGCGGGTCCACGCCTGATATGGGGGAACTCAGCTGACGGGTGCCGCGGGTTCTTGCCTGATATGGGGGAACTCAGTCGGGGGGGCCGTGGGTGCCCGCCTGATATGGGGGAACTCAGTCGGGGGTGCCGCGGGTCCACGCCTGATATGGGGGAACTCAGCTGACGGGTGCCGCGGGTTCTTGCCTGATATTGGGGAACTCAAATGAGGCTGAGGCTGAGGCTGCGGCTGAGGCTGAGGCAGGCTGAGGCAGACGCTGAGGCAGGCTGATGCATCCGAAAGCCCATGAGCAGTGAGGAGGAGAGATGCCTCCTGTCGAGCGCCACGGTGTGCTCAGAGGGAGGAAGAGGAGGAGGAGGAGGAGGAGGAGGAGGAGGAGGAGGAGGAGGAGGAGGAGGAGGAGGAGGACGAGGAGTGGTTCGAGGAGTGGTTCGAGGAAGGATACGCAAGGTTTTTCTCAGCGGTTCCGGCCTCTGGAGGCCCAGTTGCGAGGATCCAGGACGTTTCAAGATTCGCTTTCATGGCGTCTGGATTCTGGAGGCCCACTTGCGGGGATCCAGGACGTTTTTTTGTTTTTTGTTATAAAATTGAACCTAACAGCGAAGACTGATAGGTTTCTAGTGGGGTTAAAAGAGAGCATCTTGACGCCCCAGGGGGGTCTGGGCGGGATCCGGACAAAACCGGACAAAACCGTCAGCCCCAGGAATCCTTAGGAATCTTTAGGAATTCTTAGGAATCCTTAGGAATCCATTCCCAGAGCGCCATTCCCAGGCCACATTTTGAATGTCCGGAGCCAACTGTAGGCCACTTCGTGTTCTTCGTGCTCCCAGAACGCAATTCCCAGGCCACATGTTGAATGCCCGGAGCCAACTGTAGGCCACTTCGTGTTCTTCGTGTTCCCAGAACATCATTCCCAGGCCACATTTTGAATGCCCAGGGCCAACTGTAGGCCACTTCGTGTTCTTCGTGTTCCCAGAACGCAATTCCCAGGCCACATTTTGAATGCCCGGAGCCAACTGTAGGCCACTTCGTGTTCTTCGTGTTCCCAGAACGCAATTCCCAGGCCACATTTTGAATGCCCGAGGCCAACTGTAGGCCACTTCGTGTTCTTCGTGTTCCCAGAACGCAATTCCCAGGCCACATGTTGAATGCCCGGAGCCAACTGTAGGCCACTTCGTGTTCTTCGTGTTCCCAGAACACAATTCCTGTATGATATGTTGATTGCCCGGAGCCAACTGTGAGGCTGAGGCTGAGGCAGGCTGATGCTGAGGCAGGCTGAGACTGAGGCTGAGGCAGGCTGAGGCTGAGGCTGAGGCTGAGGCTGATGCAGGCTGGCTGAGAGGCTGACGCTGAGGCTGAGGCAGGCTGAGGCTGAGGCAGGCTGAGGCTGAGGCTGAGGCAAGCCGAGGCAGGCTGAGGCTGAGGCTGAAGCTGAGGCTGTGGCTGAGGCTGAGGCTGAGGCTGTGGCTGAGGCTGAGGCAAGCTGCGGCTGAGGCAGGCTGAGGCTGAGGCTGATGCAGGCTGAGGCTGAGGCAGGCTGAGGCTGAGGCTGAGGCAGGCTGAGGCTGAGGCCGAGGCCGAGGCCGAGGCAGGCTGAGGCTGAGGCCGAGGCAAGCCGAGGCAGGCTGAGGCTGAGGCTGAAGCTGAGGCAGGCTGAGGCTGAGGCTGAGGCTGTGGCTGAGGCTGTGGCTGAGGCTGAGGCAAGCTGCGGCTGTGGCTGAGGCTGAGGCTGAGGCTGAGGCAGGCTGAGGCTGAGGCTGAGGCTGATGCAGGCTGAGGCTGAGAGGCTGACGCTGAGGCCGAGGCAGGCTGAGGCTGAGGCTGAGGCCGAGGCAGGCTGAGGCTGAGGCCGAGGCAAGCCGAGGCAGACTGAGGCTGAAGCTGAGGCAGGCTGAGGCTGAGGCTGAGGCTGAGGCTGTGTCTGAGGCTGAGGCAAGCTTCGGCTGAGGCAGGCTGAGGCTGAGGCTGATGCAGGCTGAGGCTGAGGCAGGCTGAGGCTGAGGCTGAGGGAGGCTGAGGCTGAGGCTGAGGCCGAGGCAGGCTGAGGCTGAGGCCGAGGCAAGCCGAGGCAGGCTGAGGCTGAGGCTGAAGCTGAGGCAGGCTGAGGCTGAGGCTGAGGCTGCGGCTGAGGCTGAGGCAAGCTGCGGCTGAGGCAGGCTGAGGCTGAGGCTGATGCAGGCTGAGGCTGAGGCTGCCCGGGAGACCAACATGGCCCCATTCCCTTCGACACATGCCATGATTCACAGGTACAGTGTATTGACAGACACATGCCATGATTCGCCCAGTCCCCTCGTCGGCATTCTGGCATATGCGTTCTGCCATTTTGATGAGCGGTCGTATTTGCAGAGTGTGCAAGGTATTTCCACGTGTTGCTTGTGCAAGCCGGTAGTTTCACGTATTCTCGCAGGTTGCCACAGCGATGCCAGGAATCGTGATGGCCTCGCCACGTGCCCAGAGTAGTCGTTGATGCTTGTCGGTCTCTCGCAGGATGGACGTAAGCTCGCTTGCGTGTGTGTATTTGTTATCTGGGTATATGCCCGCCTGTGAGCGCAAGTCTTTTAAGGTGCCTACATTGAATGACTCGCGTTTTGGGTACAAGTTTTTTTGAGTGCAAGTCTTGCCACGCGCCTGCATTGGCTTGACTCGAGTGGCAACCACGCACGGCACCGCAATACCATGATGCCGATGGTGCACTCCCTTAGCGCAAGTCGTTGGTGCT